TCTTCTTCTATTCCCAATGGCACTTATATTTTCTTAAAACATTTTTGTTATTTATATTTTCATTTCCATTCTTTCTTCCTTTTTTTTATTTTTATACGCTTCCGTTTATACAGCATAATTAAAATTCTTGTAAGAAGCTATCTTGTTTATTATAACTAAAGAGAGAAATTGCTCTTAACCTGTAATGCTGAAGAAATTTTTACAATTGTTAAAAATATTTTTACTTTTATTTTTTAAGGTTTTTTAATGCCGTAATTACTAATACTAATAATAATAATAATTTTTGAATTATTATTAAATTTTTTTTTAAGTTTTAATGTTATTTTTCATGATTTTTCGTTTTAAAAATATCCATATTTCTCATTATTTACTTTGTTTTTTAAATAAAATATTGTAAATATTTATGAAAAATTGTTTTATTTAATAATTCCATTTTTAAATCTCTTATTTTGATTATTATTTATTATTTTAAAATGCCCAAAAAAGTATTGATTGTAAATTTTTTTTCATAAATTTATTATTTCTCTTCTTATTTTAATGATAAATTATATCATAAAATTACTTTTTTTTTTTTAAATTTTGTTATAACTTGAACATATTCTAGTTAATTAATTAAAAATTTAGCAATTATTTTTATGATATAAATCGCGAAAAATAATTAAAATTAAAGAGAAATTATTTACTCATTTTAACTAATTCGAACTTTAAGAAAAATGCGAAAATCTAAACTTTAGATAAATTCCGAATTTATAACAGGAATATAACTTACAAAATAATTATTAACTCTCTAATTTAATTAATTAGAATATTTTAAAAGCAAATTGTTAAAGAAATTTTGTGCTTGACTTTAAACTGAATTTGCATACATTTCTCATAATTTATTATTATTATTATTATTACACTTCTAATCAACTTTACTCATTAAAAAAATAGTTAAATTAATTATATAATCATCGTTAACTTTTATGTTGTAATTATTTTATTTTATTTTCAAAGTTATCCAATATTTTACTATTGAAAAAAATCATACAAGAATCTGATTGTAGAGCCTATATCATATTATAAAATACAATTGTTTTAATATTCAATATATATATATATAAATATTTTTTTTTTATACCTTCTTTAACTCTCTTCCGTGCATTAAATTCGATGTTAAAGTAAAAACATACACGTTTTTTACATTTGCAATAAAGAAAACACACCAGAAAATGATATTGATGTTCGCTTGAAGAAATTCGAAAACTCTCTATTTAGTTCATATCCGGACTTCTTTCAAAACTGAGTCCAATAGGATAAACCTATAAGGAATAATCGTTTCATTTCAACTTCAACGATTACTTCCATATTGCTGAGTCCCAAACCACAGAAGTTATTACCTTCCGACCTTACCTGTTGATACCTGTTTCACAGTTATCGAAAGCTAATTCCTGGGATCAACAATTGTCGAATCGTCAAAACAAGAAAAAGAAAAAAAAGAAAATAGCAACTCGGATTTGATTACTTTTCATTTTCTTCACTTTTTATTCTCTGCTATATTTAACTTTAACACCCCCTTCCAAAGTGTAAAGATAAATAAACGTTTTGGATTTTCAGATATACTCTTACTCTACACTAGGATATAAGTGGACTGAACTGAAAAAAATCCTATTTTTTTTCCTTTAGATCATTTCAAAATATAACAACTCGGTTAAAATATCACACTAGTGAATCTAAACTATATATTTAGGTGTTCTGATATATTATTTCAGTCATTTTTTTTAACTGAAATAAAAAAAATCCTACACCTAACTAGTTTTTTTTTATATCATTAAAGTTATAACATGAATCGGTTGGTGATATTTATGTTTTATAACAAGTTATCTTCTCTGATATATAAGTTCTAGTAACTTCTTGACTTAAAAGATTCATAATTTATCAAGCTATACAAAATATCCAGGCTTTTTTTTTTTATTTAACAAGTAAACAAGCATGTGATTTTAAATAAAAAAAATTACACATTTAAAAATTCTTGACATTTAATCAACTAAAGTAAAGAATATGTAAATCTATACAGTATAATTTACCACATGAAAAGTTAATAACTGCAGATATAAATTGACACCATTATTCAAAAAACTATTTTTTTTTTTTTTTTAAAAACTTACTATTATTATTTATTACTTTGAAATTTCTACAGATTTTTAACCTTACCTCACCATTTAAATAAGCTATTTTATGGCAGATAAAAGTTACAGTGACTATCTAATTTGCATATTTCTTAAATGTAAACCATTTATAGGCCTGTAATCTATTTTAAGATCATCTAATAATTAGTTACTTTAAAGTAAAGAATATTTAACATTACAAATATATGCAGATTTTATTCCTTATTCATATGTATTACTCATTTAAAAATCTATTTACAAATTATGTATGAGGAAGAATTTAAGAAGGAATTTAAGGTATTTTTTTCTTTAAAAATTAGACAAGGAATATAAATTATATATGTTATATACAGTATATATATAATATACAAATCTAATGTATATATATATAAATTATAATAGTACTTATTTTAAAACCTAAATTAATGTAAGAATTTTCAACCTTTCTAAATAAAAAAAAATATTTTGACATATTTTTATCAAAGTGAATATAAAACCTTATTTATTTTAGATTTAAACAAATTGATATATCTGTAAAACTACACACTTAAAGAATTCAACATTGCATTTTTCAAGGATTCTTTCCATGCTACATTTAAATATACTACTGTTGTATACACTATTTATAAACTAAAAAAAAAAAAAATAAGCAATTTTAGTAGTTTTGAATATGTTAAAAGATATTTTATATGTTAATATTAGAAATATAATCAATAAAAATTCAAACAAACTGTTATAAACTAATAAAATGAATTATGACAATTTTGTTGATGGTTCAGGTAACCGTAATTTTAGAATATTTTAATTAAACGAAACTTCACTTTTAATTATAGTAGTTTGTAGGACTGTTTGTGCTATAAAATATTAAGTTATAAATCGACATACTGTAAATTACTGATTTGAAAATATTTATCATTGTAGATTATTATTGATAAATTGTAAATTTATCAATTTACAAATTATTCTCACTACAAACTGCTCTAAATTTGTTACGTAAAACATTAAACTTTGAGCATTGTTTGGAGAAAAAATTCTAGTTTTCACATATTGTCAAATATTAAAAAAAAAATTGTTTTTTTATTTTTGAAACCAGATAATGTTTTTTACTAAAATTTTTACCATATTAAATTTGTACTGAAAAACAATGAATGCCAAAGAAAATTCTGTTCTCATCTTTGTTATCCATTCAACTTTATTTTCAATACTGAATTAATAACATAAAATGTACCACAGCAATGTTTTCCAATGTTTAGTATTTCAGCAATGGCACATATACTGAAGGATTGGAAGTGATTCAACTGTGATAAGATGATGCTAAACATTAATATTGTATTCTAAATTCTTCTTTTTATAGATTAAAATGTAAAAATCTCTGTAAAGGTATTAAAATATGAATTATTAAATTAAATTTTTTTATATTACCAATTGGAACTTGCAGAATATGTATACCTTTTATATACTATGTAACTTAGATCATAGCTATGTATCACTATATTCTTACATTAATTTCTGAAATTTGGATTATCAAAATTCATTATAAGACTTATCCAACTTTTATTAGAGAATATTTTCTAACATTACCTAATAACCAAAATAATGTTGGATATTATCTTCATCACTGGAAAATTAACTATTTTTTTATACTTATATGTTTATTTTTTTACTCTTAAATAATTCTTCTTGTGAAATACTACAATGATTTTCTAAGAATTTCAAGTAAACATTTAATTATGATGTTAATTTAATCAATTAAAATCTTAGCCCTTAATTACTTAAAATTGAATTATTTCAAACAATAAAATGAAAATGCAAAACCAAATTACAGCATAAGATCATTGAAATATATTTTCTAAGATTTTTTAAAGTGATTTACTAGTTAATGTCCTCAATGTTGCTGTCTAATTAAAATTTTTCATTTATTCTAAGAATACAATGGATAAGCTATTGAATTTCAATTATTATAATATTGCATAACAAAATTTATATTTCCATAATGCTTACTTTTTGTATCATAGAATCTGTAAAGACAAATTTATTCTGCTCATCTCTTTGCATCTTAGAAATTTGCAAAATCTTAATAAAACTAAATTAATTTTCTACTAAATTTATTAATTCTATGTTTCTTTTATTATTTGGTACTAAAATTATTATGAAAGATTANCTTTTTGTATCATAGAATCTGTAAAGACAAATTTATTCTGCTCATCTCTTTGCATCTTAGAAATTTGCAAAATCTTAATAAAACTAAATTAATTTTCTACTAAATTTATTAATTCTATGTTTCTTTTATTATTTGGTACTAAAATTATTATGAAAGATTATTTAAATATTTGTTTCATTTTAGAAAATTAGCAAACATTTAAACTCTTGTGTTATGAATAATAAGATTATTTGTTTATTGTGTTAATTAAGTGTGTCAGAATATTTTTAAAATAGATGCTTTGTTTCTGGAATTTAAGTTACTCTTTTAAAAATATTCTACGAATTTTCCATTCATGTGAAGAATGAGATAAATGTTATCTTTCGCCAAATTTAATAAAATCATGTTTAATTAAATGAAAATCCAAAATTTCATTTAATTAAATAATTTATTAAACTAAGTTAAATATAATCAAATAATAAAGTAATTACTGGTGCAGCAATTAGGAAAAACTTAGTTAATGGCGTTAATTTAATTTCCTTAATAAATAAATAGAGAGATATTTATAATCAAAAATAATTGGTATAAGAACAGATAATGATAAATATATTTTTTTAATTATTTAATATTTAAAATTTTGTATTGAAAAATCAAAATTTCAATAATCTATCATTGATTTCTATTATATTAAATATTTTAATATATTTTTTCAGAATGATTATCTTTCATTGGAACCATCTAATGTAGCAAGTTGTGTATCAAAAGGAAAGTCTGAAGTAAGTTAAAGTTTCAGTCTTATATTTTTAATGTTGTAAATATAAAATTAATATTTTATTGGGTGGATACTTTTAAGTTCCCTATTTTCTGTTAATTTCTTGATGTTTTTAAATATTGTATGTTAGCTAAATGAATGACAATATGGAATTTTATTATGAAGCCAAAGTACATGTTCTTCTGGGAAGGTTTTATGCTTTTTGTCAGCACAATAGTTTAGACCGTTTATTTCTTACTTTAGGAAACCAACAATCAAATCTGGGCTGTCTCTCCTGGTTTTCTGTAGATCTAATCCTTTAAAATATAGATTCTATAGTGCTTTAGTGCTGCCTTTGAATACTGCAGTGCATGAAGTTGTGATCTTATGTGGAATAATACTAAATGTAATAGATACTAGGATCCAATTGTGGATGAGTGGAATCTTTGTGGATTCTGGATGAATGGAATGCCAAATATATAATTTGTTGTCCCTGAATTTTCAGTCAATTCCTATACAATTGGCCATTCAAGTTAATATGTCAGATGAATAACCCCCAATATAATATCACTCTACTTCCTTTGCAATGATTTCTTGTTAGCTTCATAAATTAAACAGATTAAAAAATAAATAAAATCATAATCATCATATATAACGGGTAAATATCAAGTTTTGTTTTAATAAATTTTTTTTTATTATGAAAATGTTAAAGAATTTGAATTTCTCATGTCAAGTAACCCAACTATATCTTGATTATTAATTTTTATTCTCCATAAGTAAGCCTTTTATGTCTTATATTTTGACATTTGACTTCAACACTTTTATCATACACTTCATAGCTTTTAATGTTGAGATACCAAATATCTTAATTAAATACTATGGATTGAAATGGAGAAAAACTATTTTTAATTCTATTTATTTATTTTGCTGAACTTTTTGAATTATATTATTTTTAAGTACAGTAGAGCGTCGTTTATCCGAATCAATTGGGAACTGGGGTTGTTCGGAAAAAAAAAACGATATTTCGGATAACCGATTACGCACGAAAAAATATATTAACCTATCCCATGTTGAAATTTTTCTCCGTTGCGTGTCGCTTCGCATTGAATTTTCGTCGATGTTAAGCCTAACGAAGACTATTGTATCGTTAAAAAAATTTTTTTTATATTTTGTTCAAACAAAATAAATATATTGAAAAATATAAAAACTATAAAAAATTATACTTCAGAAGTTAATTTAGTATCAAAAACGTAAAATATTTGAGTAGCCCAAGACATAGCCAAAGATTGCAGCGCCACAGCACTGGCGAAAAATTTAAATTTGCGAACTGGATTTTCTTTCGGATAACCGACTTTCGGATAAACGACGCTCTACTGTAGTAACTTTTTTTCATAAAAGTTTATAAATACAGAACGTTCAATATTTTAAACACACAATAATGATAATATGATTTTAAAAATTATGATAAAGTAAATATTTTTTGAGAAAATAATCATTAAACTATTATTAATTAAGTAGTTGAAATTTAATTGAAAAAAATTTGCATAATTTTATGCTAGAGAATACAAATTGCAATGTTTTATTTTAACTTATCTAAAGCATTTTTGAGGATAACTTAGAGAAATACAGTATAAAATTTTTAAAACTGATTTATATATAGTATTTCAGCTTGCAAAACTTTAGTATTGTTAATGTAACATAATGACACTACAGATAATGCAGATGTAAGCAAAACACCAGTTATTTTTCTGAATTTATTTATTTATAAAAGTCACAAATCCAATATCCAATTATGATTGATTGGATTTGTAATTTTTGTATTGTAATCTGTAGAGTTTTTAAGTGTTTAAACAGAGTTATTGTAAGATCAACAAATATAAAGTAAGTTATATTTAACATACATTAAATTTTAATGATTTGTACATAAGAATCCATAAACCTAATTGTATTTATTTACTAATATATATATTCATAAAGATATTTCTTAGATTAAATTAAACAGAAAATATTATTTCTGTTTTAATTTTTTAAAATCAATCTCTAAATTATTTTGTTAATTGCTTGAAAAATGAATTTATTAATTACATATTAAGATTAAAAATAAGTATTAATTAATTCTTCAATTGTTGTTAATATTTTTCAATAAAAGTTTAAGGAAAAAAATTTAATTTAATGTTGAACAAATAAAACGTTTAATTTTCTATGTGACAAGAAATTTATAGAAGAGGATATAATCTTGTATAGTATAAGTCTTGACTTCAAAATAGTGAGCCAAACCTAACTTATAGAGCAACCATTCTATAGTCTAGTAATATATAACTGGATAAAGATAACACGGTTGCTGTCTTGTTTCAACCGTGAGTTGCGGGTCACCATTGGCCATTGAAAAGAAAGAAAGTAGTCTGGATACTTTGAAAATCAAGAAAAGAACAAAAGAATTGCATTGCATTGGGTTCACAGACAGAAGAAAAGAAGGATTTAAATCTTATTTTGATAGTTTAATTTTTTTTTATTTTTAATAGTGTTAATAATAGAACTTATTTTTATATTCTTACATAAAATTTATAATTCTATAATCAATAACTTACAGCAGTCAATACTACTTATATGAAATAATATAGTACAAATATATTGTAAATGCAAGTATACATAAGATAGTATTGATCATAAAAACTATTGATATTTTTATTACTATAAAAATTGATTTTTATAATAATTTAAAATTCATGTTTGTGATAATGCTTCTTATCAGTCTTTAATATATGCTAATTCTTCAGCAGTATGAATGCCGCAATCACATAAGGGTCATTCAACCAGTTGGAGATGGAAGCAAATTGTATATATGTGGTACAAATGCATACAATCCTATGGATTGGGTAATTTATGTAAGTCTTATTATTTATTCATTTACTTAGTTGAGAAATTTTAATATTATTAAGTTTCTATTCATATATTTTTTTTATTTTTTTAGAAAATGCTGTTTATTTTTACCTAATAATGTAAATAAAAAACTAAAATTTGATAACAAAATATATTGTCTCGTCTGGAATAGCATTATTTATTTTAATTTACCCATATTACAGAAAGTAATAAGAATATTTTAAAAATCTTTCCTATTATAATTAAATAACAAGGAAAGTTATAATGCATTTTACAAATTTTTAAAGAAAATATTAATATATAAAAAAGTAACATTTATTAATGATAATTAAAAATTAGTATTGAATGTAGAGAATTTTAATTTTCCAAGAAACTAATACTGTAGTTATATTTTTTTGGATTTTTATGTATAGTTAAGGAATTGTACTAAATTAAAAAAGACTTGTGGCTAGAAAAAAAAAATGTGATCATATAACTTGTAATTTATTCATCATTATATTACAGCAAAAGAAACTAATTTGAAATATATGAATATTACAGCATCATAAATACAACAAACAAAATAATGATTGATATATTTAAAAGATTAAATCAAAAATTTGTATAAAATACACATATTTCAATATTGTAATGGTGAAAGAGTGAGTTGCCTTCTATCATCATATATTATTTGTCTTGCTTACTCTTAAACTGCTTCACTATTTTCAACTTCACTAATTTGACAGCCAAATAGCTATGATGCATGTTTGTCGTTCGGAGAGAGACAGATTCAATTCCAGGTTAGATCCTCAGAATCTTCTCTAGCTTATAAATATTTTAGGTCTCCATTCTTCACATACAATTATTCCATTGTAATTCTAGCTAGATCTATCTGATAAGTATGATAAAAAAATTCTTTAATACACAAAGAAAAAGAAGAATTAAATTAAAAAAGAACTAATTTCATATAAGATAATAGAAAGTTTAATTAAAAGTTCTAGTTTCAATGGTTTATTTTGAAAATACAGTTTATCATTTTTCTTGGTAAATAGTTTTTAAAGATGGAATTTGTGTTTCAAAATAACTGTTGCGTATCTAATAGAATTTCACAAAAAAGTCACTCATGCCAAAAATTCTTTTAATATTTAAATGGAAATTTCATTGATAAAATTTTATTATTTTATCTATTACCAACTGAAAAACTAAAATATTTATATTCAAATGAAATTATGAAAATGAAAAATTTCAAAATCTGAAATGTTATGAATATACAGAATGAGACAGATATAACCATATAACTTTTACATGGATTTCTAAAATCATATGTTCTGAAATACAGATTTTGAATTGAGATGAGACTGAGATCAAAGGAACCTGTAAAACATTCATCATTGTCTTTCAAATTGATTTCTCAACCAGTTTTTTTTTTTTTTTTTTAATAGTTCTTGTAAGGAGTTATCATATGAGGTCTAATTTTATAATTATAAGCTTCTATAGTCCCTTCTATAAATTTATGAGTTAAGATTAATAGAGTTTGTAATTTCTCTCATCAGAAGACCATGAATAAAAATGTATTCCTTTTAACAAATCTTTTATGAAAATAAATATTAAATTAAATAAAATTCTTAATTATATATAAGATTGAATAGAGACACTTTTAACTTGCTCTAGTAATTGTAGATTAAAATTATTTTGTGATAAGTTCTTCAATTAAAATAATTTATAAAATATATAATTAAAATCAAGTAACTTTTTATTATGTGCATCTTTATTCACAAATATTATAAATGAAAGTTAACTTTTATTATTTAATATAAAATCTAAAGTTCTGAAATTTTAATAAATCTTTAAATGTTTAAAATTAATTATTTGAATAATTTATTTTATGAATTACTTTAAAAGGCAAGAAAATTTAACTTATCACATTAAATCATATTAAAATTTTGTTTATTTTATATACAGTATTTAAAAAATACTCTCCTCTTTGAAAATGAATTTATGAATTTTTGAACTCTAAAACTTCATAAATTCTGGAGAATAAAGATAATTGCAAAACTTGTCCAAGTCTTTCTTTTATTGTGCTATTCAGATACATTTCTCCAGTTTTGTAAACAACATTAATGACTTTATTCCTATACAGGTGTTTCAATTCTATATAAAATGAAATTATCATCAATAAAACATTTGAACTTGGCACCATATTCAGAAAGACAAGAAAAAATGCTTAATTCTGGAAACCAAATTAAATTTTATTCAGAAACGTTTTTGTTATTTTATAAGAACACCATCAGCTGTGAAAATTATCAAGTGCATTAGAAGGAATACATTGAGAACCTTTCCAATGTATTCATTCTAATGCACTTGATAATTTTCACAGCTGATGGTGTTCTTATAAAAGAATGAAAACATTTCTGAATAAAATTTAATTTGGTTTCTAGAATTAGTATTTTTTCTCATCTTTTTTAAATTATTATTTTAGCAGAGCAAGATAATGATTTAAAAAAATAAATTGTTCACTTGAAAGTAGAAATCAAACTAAGAGAGATGAACTGTTTTAATTTAATAAAAGAGAAAAAGTTAGAAACTGAATAACATAAAAGATTAAACTTTTTGACTACTATAAATAAAATTAAAATTAATACAACACAAAAAGTAACTTCTAGTCAGAACAACATTGTAACTAAATACTAAATACCAATATAAAGAACATCACAATATTATTCATCAGTTTTTTCTAATAAAGAAGGATATCTTTGATTAACAATTACAAACAAATTTAAGTGATGATAACGTTTATAAATATTTCTAATATATGATATTTCTAAAATTCATTGGTAATGCCAAAAGATAATGATGACTTCTGAAACAACATAAAATGGAAGATCAAGGGAAACAAATATAATAAAAGGGAATAGATAAAAAACTTTAAAATATTTATAAATGAGATTAAATTTATGAGTTAAAATTTTGAATAACTGCATTAAAACATTATAAACTATTAATAAAAGTTGTTAACTATGTATATTAATTAATCACAATTGTATTACATAGAAAAATCAAATTAACTTCAAAATTAACACTTTAACAAAGCTATATTTAATGAATTTTAAGTTTTATAAACAAATAATAAAAGATTAAATCACATTTATGTTGTTAATAAATCATTTAGTGAAAAACAATTATGCAGTGTATACTTTAAAAATAGCATAAATACATATAGATAACTGAGCCCAAAATATTCTAATTATCAAACAATAAAGCCAGATTAATTATCAGGCTTACTTGGCTAATATGAATTTAATTAGCCTGATAGTTAATCCAGCCTTATTATTTGATCATTAAAAAATTATATAACTATAATAATTGTTTCATTTTTATTGGTTATCATCTCTAAATTTGATACTCATTATGTTTTTATTGGAAGTGTAGTAATATTTTTCATTTAATAATATAAGGAATTTGTATCTTCATTCTATATTTATAATTATATTAAATATCAAAAATAATTCACTAATATTCTCAGTTTCCAAATCTTTTTATTTTGACAAACTTTGACAATAATTTGTTTGCAACAAACAAATTATTTTGAATAAAACTCTGGGGTATTCAGATGATTAATATATTATTTCAATAGATTGTACTTACCTGCTCTTTGGACATGAAGATATTAATTTATAGATTTTACAATTATATTTCACTTAATGTTGATTGTTTAGTGATTATTAAAATATGATAAACAAAATTTTTTGGAGTATTTTATGCATAAATGGTTTGATTAATTAAAAAACAGTAAATATCTTTTCTTCGTAACAATAGAACAAAATCAATAAATAAATAGAATCATATTAATAAATAGTAGAAAATGGCCAGGATGATAAATATATTTTAAAAATTCACAAAATAATTGAAAAATACAAAAAATGTCTTCACATTCCTTGTCATATCTTGGGAATATAACAGTCTTATAGCGGAGTCAATCTTTTTATTTTTTATTAATATATTTTTATAATTGTGCCACTGCCAAAGGAAAAATTCTTAACATCTTACATATTGAGGTGGAAGAACCTCCAATAAAAGATTGATTCTGCTGTAAGATTATGTTCTCAACATTGACAAGAATGAAATGTGAAGATATTTTAGTATTTTTCAATTATTTTGTGAGTTTTTAAAATAAAATTATATTTAATATCACATCTGTAATTAATATTTGAATCATATTTATTTTAGTTGAAAAGCTTCTAATGAATTAAAATCCTCAAGCAGTTCAAGATGCCTGTAAAAAATTGATTAAAATAGTTTTATAATAACAGTCTAAAATCCCTAATTTAATATAACTTTAAACTGAATGTTTATGTATCAGAAAAATTCATTCTGTAATTAGAAATCATTAACATCATAAGATATTAGGGATTAATGCACAAAATAAAAGATAGAGCATTTCCATCAAGACAACATATTTATTTCTCAGTTTGATTCTAAGATAATAAATGCAATATATAACACAATGTAGACATTGATCTGATTCAAGTCAGGACAAAACAAGAGGGTTGGAAACTCACATTTCCAACTTATACAATGAAAATTGACATAATCCTCAATATTAATACATGAGAATTAATCTGCATTTTATCATTATATATTATTAATTTACAGTTTTATTTATGTAATAATATTTCTCATTTAATAATATAATGCTATATGTTATAATTGCTATAATGCTATAAGTTATAGTGCTAATCAAAATGGAATAAAAATATAGTACAGAAAATGCATTTGATCCTTCAAGAATTTCCTACTATAATACACAATAAGAAGCTACAATAATTTCTATAAAATTTCACATAAATGCTAATTTGTAATATTTATCAATTCATACAATTTGATATAATTTTTTAAAATATTGGAACATGTAAATACATCATATACCATTTGTGTAATAAATAATTTATTAAAATTCAATGTTTATAAGTTTTTTAGTTGATGATGAACTGTATTTCAGCATACCAAAGATCCATAAATACACTTG